GAGAATGAGAGAGAGCACATGAGAGAGGGGAGGGTCAGAGGGAGAAGCAGACTCCCTGCCGAGCAGGGAGCCCGATGCGGGACTCGATGCGGGACTCGATCCAGGGACTCGATCCAGGGACTCCAGGATCATGACCTGAGCCGAAGGCAGTCGCTTAACCAACTGAGCCACCCAGGCGCCCCTCCAAAGCCCTTCTGTTAAATCTGGCCTTACTTATGCTTATTTGATCACTCCCCTTGTAAATAACATTCCATCTCAGCACCACCCTCCCCTCATGGATACCTTCTACTCAGGCTCTGACCATTCTGGGCCCTTCCTCACTCCTCCTGGGCTCTGACACCCTTCTCTGGGACTCCCTCCCACCCCCATGGGCACATTGCCTAACTTGTTCTGCCTCACCTTTAGGACTGAATTATTCCAGAAGTAAAGGGAAAACAAGAGAAGGAAGATCTTTCCCTTTATTTTCAAATCATAAGCATTTTCTGCTGGCTCACAGTCTTCATCATGATTATTTTTTTTTTTTTTTAGATTTTATTTATCAAGAGAAAGTGTGCCCATGGCGGGGGCAGGGGGTGGGAAGAGGTAGGGAGAGAGACTGGCCCACTCCACACTGAGTACAGAGCTGGATCCCACGACTCCAAGATCATGACCTGAGCCGAAACCAAGAGTCAGACGCTCAACCCACTGAGCCACCCAGGTGCTCCTCATTGTGATAATTTTTAATGGCAGCATATTTACTATTCTATGGTCTGTGTAACCACTTCCCTGTTTTTAAACATTTAAGGTGCTTCTGGTTTTTCTTTTTATGACTGATACTGCTGTAGACAGCTATAGGCTTATCACATAGTTCGTTTTAGCCATTCTAATAGATCTGTAGTTTTTTATTGTGTTTTTTCCTTTTCCTTTTTTATTATTTTTTTAAGATTCTATTTATTTGAGAGAGAGAGAGAGAGTGAAGGGAGGAACAGAGGGGGAGGGAGAAGGACAAGCAGACTCCACAATGAGTGGGGAGCCTGACACGGGACTGGATCCCAGGACCCTGAGATCATGACCTGAGCTGAAACCAAGAGTCTGACGCTTAACTAACTGAGCCACCCAGGTGCCCCTATTGTGGTTTTTTAAGAGCTTTATTGAGATATAATTCACATACCGCTAAAGGCTGAAAGTTTGTGTCCCCTCAAAATTCATATTAAAATCCTAACTTTTGGGGCACCTGGGTGGCTCAGTCGTTAAGCGGCTGCCTTTGGCTCAGGTCATGATCCCAGGGTCCTGGGATTGAGCCACGCATAGGGCTCCCTGCTCAGCGGGGAGCCTGCTTCTCCCTCTCCCGCTCCCCCTACTTGTGTTCCCTCTCTCGCTGTGTCTCTCTCTGTCAAATAAATAAATAAAATCTTTAGAAAAAAAAATCCTAACTTCCAAGGTGATAGTATTAGGAGGTGGGGCCTTTGGGAGAGGATTATGTCATAAGGGTGGAGCCTTCCTGAACAGGATGAGTACCCTTATAAAAGAGACTGCAGGCAGAGAGCCAGCTTGCCCCTCTGAGGACACAGTGAGAAGGCACCATCTATGAATCAGGAAGTGGGCTCTTGCCAGACACTAAATCAGCTGTTATCCTGATCTTGAACTTCCCAGCCTCCGGAACTGTGGGAAATAAACTTCTGTTGTTTATAAGCCACCCAGTTTATGGTATTTTGGTATAGCAACCTGACCACACTAGACGCATACTATATAATTTACTAATTTAAACTGTACAATTCAGTGGCTTTTAGTATTATTCAGAGATTTGTGCAACCAGCACCACGATCAATTTTAGGACATTTTCATTACCACACAGAGAAATCAGATACCCCTTATAGACCTATAGCTTTAAATAAGAAGGCTGGAAATAGGATAGGGTTGCAATGGGTAGCCCTTGCTCTTGGACTACTTCCAGTGACGCAGAAGTTAAGATGAAGCCCAAAAGGGAGCCAGGTCCCAGATGTCCCCTATCCTGGCAATCTCCTGCTGGCCTGCTCAGAATGTCCACCCAAGTCCCTCTCCTTCAGCTTCCTCGGCAGGCTCCTAACCATGACTTCCTTCATTGAGGAAAGAAGGAGGGAGGAAGGGCTGCTCCTTGCTTTCCTTAGGCAACAGGGCCACTTCTACCTCCCCCAGGGAGTTGGAAAAGAGAAATGACCCCAGTGTACGGAACTGAGTCAGGGGCCTCCAGGCCAGAGGGGTGACAGTGGGGAGGACCCCAGAGCCTTTTCATCTGTGGTTCCAGGGCTCAAACATTGAAAGCCAGGACTTTTCTGCTCTGAAATAAGAGCAGATTCTTGATCATTTTAGAACCTGAACCTATCGAAGAGGTTCCATTATAAGACAAAGCCAAAAAAGAGACAGAGGGAATAAGTCACTGAACACTTGTAGCTCAGAAGTGCCATCCTCACAGGTGAAGGGTGATGGCTTAGAACCTCCAGGACTCAGGATGGGGGTGGGGGGATGCTTCTGGTTTCCAGTTCTATTCCGCAACCTTTGTCCAGCACCTGTTGTGTAGTACCAGGCACTGTGACAGACTCTGGGACACAGGCAGGAATGCCCTGATGCGGTTCATGAGGCTGGGAGGAAAAATGAGCGCCCACACACCTGTATATCAAAGTGTGACAAATGTCAGGAGTGAGGGAAAAAACATACTGGTGTAGGGTTTAAGGAAAAGAAAGAAAGCTACCTCAGTAGAGTGGGCTGAAGACTATATTCCTGGCAGAGGTGACACTTGAACTAAAGCCATAAAAGATGGTTAAAGTTTAGATGGTGAGAATGGGGGAAGGGCAGCTCACAACAGTGAGCATAGAGATGGATGAGTAAAGGAAGGCTGGAACAATTGTCTAGTCCCAAAATTCCACCCCCTTATCTTTTCTGAGGCCTTTTACGAGGTAGATCCAAGATTGATGAGGGAGGGAAGGGGGAAATGAGCCCTCAGCAGGATCAGGAATTGGGCTGTTGGACTCAGGGACTGGAGCCTCAGTGGCGGGGCCTATAAGAGTGATGGGACATGTGCCTTGAGGGGGCAGGAACCAAAGAGCAGAGGCTGGAGCTCTGGACTGTGGCAGAGCCCATATTCCCTCTGGCTGAAGTCTAAGTGATCCAACATGAGACATCCAGAGCCTTGGATGGCACTGGTAGGGGGTCAGCCTCCTAGCTGGCTTCAAGGCCAGCCAGCCATTGGACTCACTCAGTTGGCAGGTCAGGCAGCAGCAGCAGGTCAAGCCCAGTGACCTGGGCTTCAGTGAGCTGGGAGCTCTGAGTGAGGTCCCTGAATGTCAGAGTGTGGAGAAGCTTGGCTGAGGGACAAGGAATCAAGAGGCTACATCTTGCCTCCTGAGATCAGACCACTGGGTGAAGGGATTCCCAGGGGTCTCCTGGTCTCCAGACTGGGATGGAGGGTGGTCCATGCACAGCAAGGGACAGAATGAGGGATGCTTGGTTTCATGGAGTTAGTTGAGACCAAAAATTATCCTTTATGAACTCTCCAGATAGAGGAGAAACTGGTGGGCACTTTTTTTAAAAAGATTTTTTTTTTTTAAGTAATCTCTACACCCAACGTGGGGCTACAACCCTGAAATCAAGAGCCACATGCTATATGGACAGAACCAGCCAGGTGCCCCTGGTGGGCACTTTTTGTGACTTGGACACATTGAAGCACTCACATTCTCAAAATGAAGTTACATTCAGACAAATGCAAAGAGACATGCAGAATTCATATTTGTAAAAACCAAAGAAGAAAAAATCCAAAGAAAAAAAATACCTTGCACAGGAATGATAAACATCAAATTCAACAACATGGTTACCCATGGGGTAAGAAGGAGGGGAGAGGTCAAGAAGTGGGGCTTCTTTTTTATTTGTAATATTTTGGTTCTTAAAAAATTTTGAAATAAATGTGACAAACTGTTAAGATGGACAGAGCTGGTGGTTATGCCTAAGAGATTTAGTATATTATAGTCTACATTTTTCAGTGTGTTTGAGATATTGCATTAAAAAAAAAATCGAAGAGCGTGCCTGGGTGGCTCAGTTGGTTAAGCGACTGCCTTCAGCTCAGGTCATGATCCTGGAGTCCCAGGATCGAGTCCCGCATCGGGCTCCCTGCTCAGCGGGGAGTCTGCTTCTCCCTCTGATCCTCTTCCCTCTCATGCTCTCTGTCTCTCATTCTTTCTCTCTCAAATAAATAAATAAAATTTTAAAAAAATAAAATAAATTTAAAAAATCGAAGAAACAGTAACATCAGGAAATTAGTTGGGGTGGGGAGTGGACATGTCATGGTGGGGAGTGGGGCGGGGTGGGGGTGCTGGCAAGGTGTCTGAGACCTGCTGGAAGAGGGGTAGGCAGGCAGACCCAGGCTGCTGAAGCTAGCAGGGAGCGTGAAAGGAGGTGCCAAGATCAAGGTCCAATCACAGTTAAGGAAGGGCTGGGCCCAGAAGAGTCCCAGTATTCACGGAAGTGAAAGCGAGGGAGAGATGTTGAGAGTGTGTGTGCAGAGGGTGTGTGTGCCAGGTAAGCCCCATAGACGTGGCAGCTCCGGGTAGGGGCCAAGCTGGGGTGGCAGGCTCTTCTTCGCAGGGCTGGCTGCCATTCCCAGGAAGCCTTGCACCAGGCGGACAATGCACCAGGTAGACTCTTGGCTCACCCCCTCCTGCTAGGCTGCCTGACACCCTGCAGGGACCCCAACCCTTTCACCAGCCTGAACTTCCCTTTTTCCCCTGTACATCCGGAGCTGCTTCCCCCCTCCCTCCCCTGCCCTGGAGGCTCTGTGGCCTGGGCCCCAGAGAGCCTTAGACTTTTAACTGGGGGTGAGTATTGGGCTTTCTACTTGCAAAGGGACAGTGTTGGGGATGACAGTGTGACTGAGAAACTAAAGAGAGAGTGTTCTGGATAGCCTTCCCTGGACCCCAATTGCCTTCTCTTGGGGCAGGGCCAGGCTGATGGCTCAGGTTTAGGGGAGAGGCTCCACCCTGGAGGGTCGGACCCATGATGGTCCAGCGGGCAAGGGGAGGCTAGGGAGAGAAGGCTTCTTGAGCCTGTGGTGACTTCATCAGCTGGCTCTGACGTTTATCGTTGGGAGGTTTGCTACCTTCATGGTAATCCATCCCACCCTTCCTCAACAGTTAGCAGAGCGGAGACAGACAGTACCCCCAGGTTCTGGCTGGGACCCTGAAACAGGCCTAGGCTGGCGTGGGTTCTCCTCAATCCAGCCAGGAGTCCACACTGGGCACCCCCTCCCCTCCAGGTCCAGATCCTGAGACCCGTAAGAAGATCCTATATTATGGGATGAGGTATCCCCTTTGCTTCACCCCAAGCTTTGGGGGTTCCTGCCTCATTTTCCTTTCTCCATCCCCCAGGGTACCACCCCTCCACCTTCTGTGTGAGTTGAGGGTAGTGGGAACCTAAGACACAATGACTCCCTTTTCCCAGGACTTGAAGAACAGCTGCTCACTGCTAGAGGGCCAGGCCGTGGGAGAGCAGACAACTAGTGTGCTCAGATTCCTGACCTAGGACGTATTATCTATTGAGGAATTTTACTGGAGGCCTGGCAAGACAGAGCAGTGGGAGGGGACGGACTTGGGGGGCCACACTCTATATCCCAGACTGTAAGGAAGCCCCTCTGCATCCCTTTCTGAATGACTTTGTCTCCCTATCTCTGTTTCTTTTTTCTCTGTCTTTGTCTCTCTGCATCTATTTCATTCCTTGTCCTTTCTTTATCTCTCTTTTTCTTTGTCTTCTTGGCTTTGTGTTTTTCTCTTTCTCTCTGTATCCCCCCCACCCCAAACACACCTGTCTTTTTCTTTAATTCTCTCTCTTCCTATGTGCAGGGTTTTTTTGGGGGGAGGGTTGCTACGCATGTGTTTATCTGTATGTTTCTCTGTCTCTCCATGTCTGCACTCTGTCTCTTTCTTTCTTTGTCTATGTTTCTCTCTCCCTAAGTCTCTCTGTCTGTTTCTCTCTCAGTTCCCTTTGGGTGTCTGTCTCTCCATTTGGCTCTTTTTCTGTGTGCACGTGCCCATGTCACCTTCTCTCTCTGCCCCTCCCCTACCAGGCTGGCCACCATCCCTGGCCTTCTCCAGCTGTGAACGGCTCAGGGGGTCAAGAGCTCCAGAGGCAACTCCCAGAGGTGCCAGGTGGGGCCTGGGAACCACCGCGAGGGGATGGGCTGCCCCTGCTCACCGTCATTGTCGCTGCCTTTGTCCTGATGGCCGTCTGTATCGTGGTGGCAGTTCACTTTGGGCCAAGACTACATCAGGGCCGTGCCACTCTCCCCACAGAGCCACCAACCCCAAAGCCGGAAGGCGGCATCTACCTCATCCACTGGCGAGTGCTGGGCCCCCAGGACAGTCATGAAGATGCCCAGCGGGAGCCTCCTGTCCCTGGCTCCTGCCCTGTGCCAGATGGGCCTAGGCTCAGCACTGATGAAGTCACATGTCTGTAGGAGGGAGACTTTGAAAAGTTGGACTGACCTGGCTCAGAACAAGAAACCGGACAGAGAATTAGGGCACAAGCAAATTGGGGCCTGGACATCAGAGCTTTGGAAATGCACACATGGACTCAGCTGGAGCTGCTCTCTCTGCAGAATATTTATAGAGAAAACGCTGATGTGGACAGAAGAAATAAAAGAAGCTTGAGGGCTTTGCCTGGAAACACGCTCCTGTGAGCATTGCTAGGGCCCAAAGCTGCCCTTACAAAGCGACTCCCTGCTTTTCAGGGACCATCAGATCCCTGACCCTCCTTTACCAAGTCCTTACCTCCTCCTCTCACCCCTAATCTCCTTTGCTTTTGGTGTCAGCTCGCAAGATTCCCCCACCCACCCTACCCCTGTGCAGGGATCTCAGAGTCTCCCTGTAGAGGTCCTACCCCCAAAGCCCCCAGGTCCTGTGAGGGCTAGTCAGGGAGAGCCACGGCAAAGAACCCAGGGGCCTGCCTTCTCTGGTACTCAGGAAGAGAAGGAAAATCTGTTGCCCTTCACCAACTGGAAGACATCCCTTTGGCTGTTGGAGCTTATGCCTCATCAGCAACTTCCAAGGCCCTTGTAAAGCCCCAAGCACCAATTATAGCTCCCCACATCACTTTTGAATGCCTCCTACTATGTTGGGGCAAGATTTTGTCTTGCCTTCCCAAGATGGGATGGGGAATTTGGGGGTTCTCATATATCCCCTTTTTTGTGTGTACCGGCCAGTTGGAACCAGCCTAAAACTTATCCCATGACATTGCCCAAATCCAGAACCTTCCAGCTGGTGGGAAAACAAGAAAGGAAGAGGAGCTCCATGCAGCTTGTCTAAGGGAAGGAAGGAATGAGGAGAGGTTTTGCAGGGGGTGTGGGCATGGAGGTAAGATGCAGGAAGGCAGAGCTGAGCCTCCGGGTGGCTCTCTGGAAAGTCACTCTCTCCCTGACACGTCCGCACCTCACTGATGTGCAGTCGAGAACGTAAGGATAGGCATTTATGGAGGGGCCTCTGAGTTCTTTACCCTGGGGAACACCTGAGGACAGCCGGTGCACCCTGGTACCAGCCTTGGCGAGACCCTAGCACAGTCAGGAAGGCGAGGATAGCAGACAATGAAGAGGAACAGAGGTGGAGATTGTAATGTGTACAGAGGACTGGCCTGCCTCCTTCGTGAGAGGCAACTATAATGTTCATGGCTGCTCCTTGCGGCCCAGCCCTGTGCTGGCCACCCAGCTCATCCGCCGACCTGTGGCTATCAGACCGTTCACTCCCCATAACAAGCTTGGGAGGAGGAGCCACTCTTGTCCCCATGTTATAGCGGAGGATATCAAGATCCCCAGGCAGACACGAGTACTAAGTGGTGAAGTCACGATTTGAACCTGAGCTCTCAGACTCCACAGCCTAAGCACCAAGTTGGGGGCTGGATGGGTGGGGGAGGGGCATTTTGGAAAGGCCCTTGATTCTGCCCTGGTTTCTTTTTTTTTTTTTTTTAAGATTTTATTCATTTATTTGAGAGAGAATGAGATAGAGAGAGCATGAGAGGGGGGAGGGTCAGCGGGAGAAGCAGACTCCCTGCCGAGCAGGGAGCCCGATGCGGGACTCGATCCCGGGACTCCAGGATCATGACCTGAGCCGAAGGCAGTCGCTTAACCGACTGAGCCACCCAGGCACCCTCTGCCCTGGTTTCTAGTCACAGGAATGATTGGTGTAATGTTGGAGGAGCCTCAGGCCTTGGGGGCAGAATGGCTGGGACAGCTGTGAAGAAGAGATTGTGTCCCCCTTTACTCCTTAGGCTTTGGCATCCTTGGGAGCAGTTGGTTCCTTCTGGCAAACATGTGTCTGTCTGTTGAGCCTTTCTCCGCAGTGATGCTGTACACAGAAATTCGTATTGAGCTTCTGTGATAAAAACAGAGGTGAGGGGCCCCTGGCTGGCTCAGTCAATACAGCATCCAACTCTTGATCTTGGGGTTGTGAGTTTGAGCCACATGTTGGGTGTAGAGATTACTTTAGAAAAAATTAAAACAAAACCAAACCAGAGGTGGGAGGTAGGGAATAAGTCGTGGATAGAACAGAAGGAACTGGTAGAAATGGGCCGCCTGCCCTCCCAAACAGGCCACTACAGTGTTGTAATGGCTCGGTTCTAACAGTGATGTCATAAGACACAGCAGGTGCCCGGCTGTGTGGTCCAAGGTCTCCCAGAGTATATCCCGTCTCCTCACACGAACCCCCCCCCCTTATCCCTTTGCAGGCTCTATCATCTGGGGACATTCATCCAGTGGCCCCTGCTCCTTTGAGTAGCCCCTTGCCCTGGACGCGGCTGTGTGCCCCTCATGACATCAGCGTGCCTGCTCAGGCTGCTCCGTATTCCCCAAGCCTCTCACTAGAGACAAGGGCCCTGCAAGGGCATGCAGACACCGTGGGGCATGCTACCCTCCATGCCCTCAGCCTGATTCCTGGGCTCTGTCCACAGTGAAACCATACCCACCACCGCACCGCCCTGTCCTAGAATAAGGAGGGGGTCTAAGGAAGTATGACTGTGCAAGTGGATTTGGACATTTCAGATAATAAATGCCAATCACTTGTGTCAGTCAGAGTCCAGCTAGAGAAAGATGGCACACTCAAATAGGTCATCTGAGCAGTGTTGAAAAAGGGGGCTGTTTAGGGGCGCCTGGGTGGCTCAGTCGGTTGAGTGTCTGACTCTTGATTTCAGCTCAGGTCATGATCTCAGGGTCAGCCTCCCCCACATACACCCATGTATGCACTCTCTGAAAAAAAAAATTAAAAAAAAGAAAGGGGGCTGTTTAGAAAGGGCAGGTATAAGGAAACCACAAGTAAGAGTGAGTGCTCCAGAGGGGACATTGCAGAAAACCAGGACCATCGCTGGGTCTGAGCAGCATGGGGAAGGGACAGGTAATGGAACCTGGGGAGAGACAGAGTTACGGAGAACATGGCAGAACCATGACTTTAGGTTGGAGATGCAGAGAGCCCACAGTGACCTTGGTACTGCAGGGAAGGATCTGGGGGAATAACTACCCCAACCTCACCCCCCTCTTTCCCTCTGTTCCTCTACTGGGGCTTCCTGTGGACTGAACATGACCAGAATTCAGAGAGCAAGGGAGCCTGTTGATGCCATCCCAGGGCAGAGGAGGCAGGGAGGGGTAGACAGTCAGTCTGGAGGGTCCAATGGAAGACATCTGACACATCCCTTAAGTTTACCTGGCATTTATAGTTTACAAAAATGTTCCATACAGTGAAAATCCTCACAACAACCCTGTGAGGTAGGTAAGACAGTGATTATAATCCCATTTCATAGATGATGACACTGAGGTTCAGAGAGGTAAAACAACTTGCCTAAGGTCGTCTTGAGATGTTAAGTTCAAGGACCTTCTCTGAGAGGCTCCCTGTGGGAGGAAGTGGTTCTGCTGGGCATCCAGCTGCTGAAGAAAGCCCTTCAATCCAGTCTTGTGGATCGAGAGTCTTGGGGACCACTGGGGGTTCAGGCCAGCAAACCCTGAGCCTCAGAAGACATCCGTGCGGAGTGGGAGAGGCTGTTCCAAGCCACTGATGAGGAGCTTGGGCTCCTGGGACAGCGTGGAGGAACTGGGTACAATCGAGGTGTCCAGGCTGCCCATAGTGACCTCCCTTTCCTCCTGCCGCAAGTGCCGGAGAATCTCTTGGGACAGGGAGAAGCTGCTTCCCTCTGCAGGTTCTGGCACAAGGATGGGGAAGGTGGGGGAGGAGTGCAGTGAGGACCTCTTAGGTTCTCACTTGAACATGCCCTGAGACTTGGTGGGCAGATCTTCCAACACTCCCTCTCCCTCACCTCCCTGCATCCCTCCCCATCCCTGGCCTGGGGCTAGAGTTTCCTGGAATTCTGGAGCTAGAAGTGGTTTCAGAGATAACAGAATTTGACCTCCTCAGTCTTAGAGATGGTGCTCAGAGAGGGGCACAGACCTGCCGCTGAGGCTGCAGCCCCGGTCTCTTTGTCCTGAGCCTGGGGCTCTTCTGCTTCTTCTGGCAATCCCTAGATGACGTCAGGGGCTCCTAGAGCCCATCTCTTCACACTCCACCCAGGACCCGTAGCCAGGTACCCCAGAAAGCAACTGAGTGTCCTAGGTGGAGAGGTAGGACCTCTCCTGGGGGAGGAAGAGGCCGGGCTCAAATGCCTTGACCACTTGGGAAGGCCCAGGGCATGGTGTTGCTCTAGCTACTTCTAACCCCTCGGGACATCTGCCTCTTCCTGCCTGGTAGCCTACTCAGTCCTCACCGGAGTAGACAATGAGGCGGTAGTTGTTCTGTGACTCAGGGGCATCTGCCAGGATGTCTTCCAGGATCCGGCAGAAGAGTTTGGCCTGCTCCAGCCGATCCTGCCGGCTAAAGCCAGCTCGGCCATCCTGGGACATGGCAAAAAGCGTCTGCAAGGGGGTGGCGTACTCCAGGACACAGATGCCCACCTGGAGGAGGCGAGAGGAACGCAAAACTCAGCCAGGGCCAGGGCAGACAGACTCTGGACCCTGGTGCCACTGCTAGGGCCTTGCTCCCTCAGCCTGTAGAGATGGCGTTCTGGGAGGTGGCTACCCTGCTGGGATCTATGGTGTCTGGTGGCCTTTGCTCCTAAAATCAGCACCAGGACTGTGCTAGATTTATCTTCCACAGATCCTCCTTCTCAGATCCCAGGGCAAGGCCCACGGAGTCACCTGCCGTCAACTGCTCCTGGGGGCTGGGCTCTGGGGTTCAACCCTGGCCTGGGTTTCCCCCCCACCTATGTGAGATCTTTCAGATGTTCTCACATCTTGGTCTAGGACAGCTTTATGGTCAAGTGCGTGGCTTGTCAGGTTGAAATCATCCAATTTCTTCCTGGTTCTCTGAGTCTGTACTCAGTTTCCTCATCTGCAAAGTAGGGGTCATAGCAGGCGTCACCCCACAGGTGGTGGCAAGGGTTAGATGAGGTGGTCAGATGAATAGCATCTGGTATGCAGTAAGGGCTCAATTAGTGTTACTGATCATTATCATCATTCAGAGCTGAAGCATGCCCAGCTGGGGAAAGTAAGGCTCAGAGAAGGGCAATGAATTTTTATCAGTGCTTGGCCAGGGGTCAGAATTCTGGTGCTCTGGGCCTGACTCCTCCTTAGCAGCACCCACCTCCCCGCACACTCACCGGTTTCCCGTTTTCCAGAAGCTCATAGACACTGTTGGTGTAAACCCGGCCCTTGATGCCAGCACGGTCGGCACTTTGCTGGGGCAGCTGATACAGGAAGCGAATGTTGGGGTCGGCCACAGTCAGGTCATCAGGCACCCCACAGTCCAAAGGGAAGAGGATGTGCAGCCGATGGCTCCCTATGACCCGTAGCATGTTGGTCTGCAGCTGATTGTACTTGCGTATCCGGGTTGGGAACCCTGGGGTGGAGAGGCCCGAGAAGTCATTCCTACAACCCTATCTCCCACCCAACCCAGGACAGAGACCCAGGTCATTGGTTCCCTCAATGTGTAGGTGCAGGAGAACCAAGGGTCCAGTCCACTTGCACTGTGCAGGAGCCAGGAGGAGCAGAGAATTCAGGAACACTCCCACCCCTCCCTCTACTCCCACCACCTCTCTCTCCCCTCAATTGTCCTTTGTCCAGATTCCTCTGCTCACCCCACTCCTTCCCACCACAGCTTTTAGGGCTCTCAGAGGCAGGAAGTGCCCTGGAAGGTGACATTCCCAGCAATCCCATGTACACGGGGTCTGGCCTCTAGCTCCAGACCTGTTTCCTAGCAGAAGCTAGGTAACAAGGGCAGACATCAATGAGATATGGGAGAACCACGGCCTTGGCCAGCAAGTCAGAAGAAATGAGACATGATACATGGGCTCACAGTAGAGTGGTCAAGGATCCAGGCTCTGGACAGACCTGGGTCCAAATCCTGTCTCCTCCGCTCACAAAGCTGTGTGACTTTGGAGAAGTCACTTCACCTCTTAGAACCACAATTTTCTTATATCTCTAAAACAGGGATGATTATCCCTTGCCCACAGGGTATGAATTAAAAGTGAAAATGCGCATGAAGGGCGCAGAACATACAGTCAATATTCATTGGAAGAATTCATAGTTAACCTGAGAGAAGTCACTTAATGGCTCTAAGTGCCATATTCCTCCCTGAAAACCAGGCATAATAATATCCTTCATGCCTACAGAATTGCTTTGCGAATCAAATGATTCCTGAGGAATAAAAATGCTTTGAAAAATACAGCAGGTTCTAGAAACGCGAGTTTTTTGTCTTACTGTCTGTCGTGAAGCTCTAGAAATAGGGGCATAGAGAATGGCTCACCTGGCAGGATCAGCCGCAGGTACCCAATGTAATATGACCATGCCAGCCCATGGGCCACATTGAAGTTCCTTTCTTCACAGACTGCAGAGACCTCAGCTGGGGCTAGGGCCTGTAGACAGCAGGGTGGGCCTGGGGAGCCTCCACGAAGGATAACCAGAGCCCTCCTCCTCAAGAAGATTTCCCAACCAGCTACCAGCTTGCTCCCTTCTCTGCCATTGACCTCCCATTGCAGGACATTATAGGCTCTACTCTAAGGGCCGACCTCTAAACTCGTCCCACTCCCGATACCGAGCTCAGAGTAGGACACACTAGCTGCCGCTTCCACTTGGCTACACCCTCCGCCTCCCTCTGTGTCTTACCTGGAGCTCCAGGAGGATGTTCAGTGCCTGCGAGAGGCCCAGGAGCGCAAGCGTCCAAAGGAAGGGCCGGCCAGCTGGGTTTGGGAGGGAGCCATAGAAATAGCAGGACAGCAGCAGCAGGGCCCCACCGCGAATGGGGCAGCCCAGGCAAGAGCACATAGCCCTCCAGGAGCTGCCCTGGTACCTGCAGGGGACAGTCAAGCTCCGGACTCCAGCCCAGCTCAGCCCGAGAGATTCAAGGAGGGGCAGGGCTGGGGGTCAAGAGAGTAAGACATGTGGGGTGCCCAGTCGCCATGGGTAATGGAGTCACCTGGAATGGAGGTGGCACAGCTCCTCAGTCAGATGGCAGACCCCCTTGAAGAGCAGTCCCAGCTGCAGGGAGGCCAGGTGGAGCACCAGCCATCGGAGAATGTGTTCTGGTGGCTCCCCCAGCCCACAAAGGGCTGCCAGGCAGACGGCCAACAGGACCAAGGCTGCCTTCTGGGCCCTGGTCCCCCTGGGCCGCGGGATGGATGGGTGCAGGCTAGACTGGGGCATCTGTGGGTACCAAGAAACCCATTGCTGTTATCTATCCTCTCCCTCTCCTACCGCTTCGGGACAGCTCTCTTTCTTCCTGGTGCCCAGCCATAGTCAGAGGCTGGAGATGCCTCTAGGGGATAGGCTGGGCATATAGCATCCCAGTGCTCCTGTCCGGGAGAGATTTGTTGTAAAGGGAGCAGGGGGAGAAGTACATGTGCTCATATATCTACAGCCTACCCAACCCCAGGAAGACCACAGGTTGTAGAGAAGAAAGAAGGCAGTGACTGTCCCAGACCCAGACCCGAAAATATCCTGTGAGGTGCCACCCACCTAGGGACTGTTGGGAACCTGGGCTTCCCTCTCCCCCGAATCCACTCCAGGGAAGACCTTAGTCAGCAAAGGTGACACCACAGTCTGCGGGTGCAGGCAGGGCAGACCCATCTCTGGGTCTCCGGGGGCCTCAGCCTTGGAGCATATGCTCCACTCTCCCGATCCTACCTACCTTCTACCTCTGAGACCGCCGGTTGTTTCTGGAAGATGACAAGGAGAGAAGGTCTAGTGCAATGGCTCCCAGCGACCAAGGCCAGCCTCTCTGGGTAAGGCCTGAAAACGAAACGTTAAAAAACAATCTAAACTTTCTCCACAGCATTCCAGCCCTGGCATTTCACCAGACCACAGCTTAGGAGAGGAGGGTATTTCCTGCTCCCCGGGAAGGGAGGAAGGGCTCTGATGAGCCATGCCCCAGTCTTGGTATGGGGAGGGCAGCTTGAGGAGGCCCTCGTTCCGTTGCCCTTTGCTCCCCCTCACCGTCCCCTACGGCCACAACCCTGAACGCCTCAAGCCCCCACGATCAAACAGACTCTCCAACACCCAGGCAGGACTCCACACGCTCCCAGACAAAGGCAGAACACACACCACACCACACTGACCTGCCTGATTTTTATTCTGATTTCGAGACGCAGATCCTGTTTTTCTGAAGACTGTGGTATGAGGAAGGCGGAAGGAGAATGAAAGTTATTTCCTGTAACAGCAGCCTTTCGGGTAAAAGGCTTTGTAGTAGCAGAGAGCCTTCAGGGGAGTGGGGCTCTGGCTTGCCCCAGCAAATAGCCATGCCTCTGACTTCTCAGAGAGAACCCGGTGATTCTAGCCAAAAAAGCAGTCTTGGGGAACCTCGACATCAATCATCATCATAAAGTGTTTACCATGTTCCAGATATGATGCTAAGTGTTACACACAGTATGTTACTTAATCCACTGAGCCACTCTGGAAGATAGATATAGTATTAGTCCCCATTTTACAGGGGAGCCATCTGAGGCTCAGTGCGGTGAATGGCTTGCTCTGTGCCTTCCCTACTCGGGAAGGGGTAGGAGGTACCAGGACCAAGTTTCATGCCTACAGGTTCTCCTGGGGTGGCCGGGGGTGTCTCTACTGCTCTCCGGCAAACTGAGAAGCTGATTTGATTTGAGGACAGGGCAGGCCTAGAGGGGGGGATTGGGGTGGCCCCCACAGGGCAGCAGCAGTTCATTCCGCCCAGGTCAGAGAGTCTTCGCCTGGGCCCTTCCCCACATCACAGCCAGAAACAAGGTGGGTGACACACGCATTCATAGATGACACTGGCCTCCCAGGAACAAGACTTCCTGAAAACTCTTGTTTGTGAAAATCACTTCCTATAAATGGGGGAGGCCCCTACAACTTCTCTTCCCTACAAGTGGCTCACAAAGGGACGCCGTGAGGTGAGCAAGGGCTCAGCTACATCAAAACCAAAGAAAATCAAGGGTGCCCAAAAGAAGGCCTGAGCAGAGTCCTCCCAGCCCCAAGAGCCAGCTCTGCCAAGTAGCCGAGGGCCTCCAGGCTACGGAGGACCCACTCCCCCAGGGGGCCCCACGGTTGCCTGCTCTGCGGCGCTACACTGGTCACTGTTTCCCCCAAACGTGTTCTTCATCCCATCCCTTCCTTCAGCCCATCTCCCTAAAATAGAAGTTCCTCTATTTTTAAGGGCAGGTTGCCACTATGCCTCAGAAGCTTTAAAAAACACACTTGTCATCACGGACCTAGCAATCCACTTCTAGGAAAGCTTCGTCAAGAAATAATCAGACAAGGGGCGACTGGATGGCTCAGTCGGTTAAGCATCTGACTTCGGCTCAGGTCATGATCCCACAGTCCTTGGATCGGGCCCCGCATCAGGCTCCCTGCTCCGCGGGAAGCCTGCTTCTCCCTCTCCCACTCCCCCTGCTTGTGTTCCCTCTCTCACTGTGTCTTTCTCTGTCAAATAAATAAATAAAATCTTAAAAAAAAAAGAAAGAAAGAAAGAATCAGACAAGGGCACAAAAATGCCTATTTTTCAGATGTTTGTAGCAGTATTGTTTACACCAGAGAAAAACTGAAAGGTATCTAAATGCCCAACAATGAGGACTTGTTAACTAAATTGTGATTCATCTTATAGTAGAAGGATGCGTAGGCACCAAAAATGATGAGGTAATTTTGTATTAATGACCTTTATTTTTTTAAGATTTGTTTATTTTAGGGGAGGAGGAGCAGAGGGAGAGGGAGGGAGAGAATCTCCAGCAGACTCCCCCGCCAGCCCCAGCGCAGAGCCCAACACGGGGCTCGATCCCACAACCCTTAGATATGACCCAAGCCAAAACCGAGAGTCGGACGCCCAACCAACTGAACCACCAGGCACCCCTGTATTTATTGACTCTTAAACATGCCTTTTATACATTTCTTACTGGAAAAAAAGCAGCATACAATACAGTATAATTGCATTTTAAGAAATATATCTTGCATGAAAAAAGGTCTGAAAGCACATATGCCAAAATGCCAACAGTGATTACTCTATGCAGTAGGAATGTAGGTGATTTTGGGGCGCCTGGGTGGCTCAGTCGTTAAGCGTCTGCCTTCGGCTCAGGTCATGGTCCCAGGGTCCTGGGATCGAGCCCCGCATCGGGCTCCCTGCTCAGCCGGAAGCCTGCTTCTCCCTCTCCCACTTCCCCTGCTTGTGTTCCCTCTCTCGCTCGCTCTCTCTCTCTGTCAAATAAATAAATAAATAAAATCTTTAAAAAAAAAAAGGAATGTAGGTGATTTTTAGCATATTTTTCCATGTTTGCTCATTATGTTTTCTTGGGTTTCTTTTCCCAAATTGAACACGTATTGTTTGTTTCATGCTTGGAGTATGTCGTGAAAAGAAAAAAATCCCAGCATTGCCTCAGGAGCGAGGGGTAGGATTGCTGGTGAATATGTCAGGCCAGGCCCCACTGTCATGACACCCCCAGCGGGGGCATGGGCAGCGGGCATTACGTGACCGCACCAGGAATTAACTACATACAGATGTGGCGAGGGCTTCAGAGAACGCACTTCTGTTGCTGTTCTGAGGGGAGCCTGGAATACCCAAGTCTAGGCTTTCCTGAAGAAATGCCTTTTAAGCTGAGTTTGGAAGGAGCAAGGCAAGGGTGTTGGAGAGAAGGGCAGGTGTAGAACCTTCTGACAGAGCATCACATGTAAAAGGGTGGGAAGGAGTTGGGTCCGTGGAGGAACAGAGAAATGGCTGGTGCGGCGGGAGCGTGTGAGCATGTTGGGGTTCTGTATCAGATTCTTAGGGCTGCTCTACAGAAGCCCTAGAAATGGGGTGGCTTAAAACAACAGAAATGTATTAAACAGAAAGTGACTCACAGCTCTGGAAGCAAGAAGTCTGCAGTCAAGGTATTCGCAGGGCCATGCTTCTTCTGAAGTCTCAAGAGAAGGATCTTCCCTGGCCTCTTCCCCTTGCTGGTGCCCTGAGGTGGTCCTTGGTTTACAGCTACAGCTGTGCAGTCTCGGCCTCTGTCACACAGCGTTCCTCAACTTTGCATCTCTGTCTCCACATGGCTTTTCCTCTTCTTATGAGGACACCCATCGTACTGGATCGGGGCGCACCCTAATGACTTCATCTTGATTATACCTGCAAAATCGCTACCTTCAAATAAGGTCACATTCACAGGTGCTGGGAGGTTAAGACTTCAACGTATCTTTTTAGGGGACGCAGTTCAACCCCTAAGAGGGTCTATGGTGTAGGAAGGGGATGAGGGAGTGGGTCTGTGACCAGGGCCTCAGAGCCGAGGGGCATCACAACAGCTGCGTGCCTGGGGTCTTCCTCAGCGCTCAGACGGACAGCTGGACTGACAGGCAAGGAACTTGAAGCTCTTCCAGACCAAACGCCTCGGTGTCCAAGGAGGAACCTAAGGGCCCCAGGGGGAGTTGAGGCCCAAGTTTCCGCCCCCGGCTCACAGGCTGCTTCCCTCGGGCCAGGGGAGCGTGATAGCTCTGCTCCATGGGTCAGCTTGCTGCCGGGGCCTCCTCCTCACTTGCTGGTAGTTGCTTCTTCCCTCCAGACACCCCACGAGTGCTTGTCGGCCGGCGCTACACATTTCCATTTCCAGCCCAGTCACAGCTCCCACGGGTCTCCCCTGAAACGCGTCATCAGTATTCCTGAGAGAGAAATAAACCCCTACACACTCATTTAGGGGACTTTGGGCCTGAGACAGAGTGTGAGTGGGGTTGGGAGACCTCTGGCCTCTGAGGAGCTGCCCTTTTGCCCACACAACCCCTTCCATGTTTACAGGTCCCTGATATTCATGTGTCAGGTCCCTGAATCCTGCTAGGACAGGATTTTGGGGGGGATTTAAGATCAGTTAACTATGGTATACCTGGGATCCAATCTCGCCTCTGCCTCTCCTAGCTATGTGACCCTGGCCCAGTTATTTAAATTCGTTGAGCCTTAGTTACAATGGGGATGGTAAGTAATAACTTTTATCATATCAGACTGTCAGGAGGATAAAAAGAAACATTGCACTTGTAGGCATGACTTGCTCTAGATGCTCAGTAATTACTCATTCTAACCACCGCCAGCAGCAGCAACAGCAACACTGAGAGTCACACTCTTGGAGTTGCCAGCTTCGATCACCTTGGCCTCTAAAATGGGCTCAAGACACAGATTTGATGTCTCATCCATGGGTGGCTCTGAGCCTGACCCCAGCCACTTCCTTCCATTGCCCAATCATGGAGCCCAATAGTGTGTCATGATCTTTCTTGGACAGGACAATATCCAAGTAGATGTGATAGAGAAGGAGAGGCTGGAAGATGCATGATTAGGGGTGGGGGAGCATAGGGAGTGAATAATGGACCCATGTCCTCCCAGAAGGAGGTATCCAGCAGGGCAAAGAGATCTAGTTGCTTTTTTGTTTGTTCGTTTATGCTAACAGCTTTATTGAGATATAATTTACATAACATACAACTCATATATTTAAAATGTACAATTCAGGGGTGCCTGGGTGGCACAATCCTTTGAGCATCCCAGTCTTCGTTTGGGCTCTGGTAGTGATCTTGGAGTTGTGAGATCAGGCCCAAGTCGGCGGGCTCTGTGCTCGGTGAGGAGTGTGCTTCTGATTCTCTTTCCCTCTCCCTCTGCCCCTCACACTCATGCTCTTTCTCTCTAAAATAAATAATTCGGGCGCCTGGGTGGCTCAGTTGTTAAGCGTCTGCCTTCGGCTCAGGTCATGATCCCAGGGTCCTGGGATCGAGTCCCACATCGGGCTCCCTGCTCGGCAAGAAGCCTGCTTCTCCCTCTCCCATTCCCCCTGCTTGTGTTTCTGCTCTCGTTATCTCTCTCTCTGTCAAATAAATAAATAAAATCTTTTAAAAAAAAAATAAATAAATAAAATAATTCAATCTTAAAAAAAGTAAAATTAGGGGCGCCTGGGTGGCTCAGTTGGTTAAGCGTCGGCCTTTGGCTCAGGTCATAATCCTGGAGTCTGGGGATGGAGCCCCACAAAGTTGGGCTCCTTGCTCAGCAGGGAGTCTGTTTCTCCTTCTCTCTCTGCCCCTCTCCCTGCTCCTTCTCGCTCTCTCTCTTTCTCAAATA